TATTGCTTTCCTGGTTTGCCCAATAGTGCAGCAAGTGTGCTAGGCATACAGTGTGATCCATGATTGGGGAAACCCCTAGCCTGTGGGCTAAATTACGTCAAGCAGATGTCCTAATCTGGTGTGTGGAGTTTTCTCCCAAACCATCCTCCCCTGCCCGTAATACCATATACAATATCAGGTGGGAGGCAGGTACAGGTGTGGCCCTCACTTGGAAGTTCATTTCCAAGTGACTTCTATTAGGAACACACTTCAGAGGTGTAAAAAACCCCCGCACATGTCAGCGGAGCGCATGCAAGCCTGCCTTGCCTCTTTTTGTTATGTCTTTATGATGTTTGGGGGCTACTTCTGGGTTTCAACGTACAGTGGTATCTCGGGTTAAGTACTTAATTCATTCCGGAGGTCCATTCTTAACCTGAAACTGTTCTTAACCGGAAGCTCCACTTTAGCTAATGGGGCCTCCTGCTGCCGCCGCGCTGCCAGAGCACGATTTCTGTTCTTATCCTGAAGCACTATTTCTGGGTTAGCGGAGTCTGTAACCTGAAGCGTATGTAACCTGAACCTGTACCATATAACCCATGGTACCACCATGCACGTTATTCAGACATGCCTAAATTAGTCATTAGCTATAATCTGACATTATTATCCACCTGTCAAACTTGGCCTGCAGGGTTTGGGCAGATAAAGATCTTGGCACACCAGAGAGAAAAGGCTTTCCACTCCCGGAGTAGTTCATTCTTGCCCCAGAAGATGGTTTGATGAGCTTTGGGGAGGTACTGGCACTGCACTGTTCAGTGGCTTGCATGAAGCAGTGGTGGAACAGGTGGGCAGACAAATAAGGAATAGAAACTCTTCCGTTATGAGCTGTTGTCAACACACACTCACAAAAGATTTAGGATTTTTTGCTGGAGTCCGTGTGTGTGTTCATTATGAATATGTGTTCCTACCTGTAACTTCATGCCCAGCAAGAGGTTCGCACATCAGAGGAATAAAGAAAGATTGGTTTATTGCATGAAATAAAAGGAGCATACATGAAATTAAAAAAGCCTCTAGCTGATGAACATCTTACACCCTTTTAAAATGTGTTTGTGGGGTGGGGGTTATTGGGCTTTTTGTTATTGTTTTTATCAGGTATTTTGTGTTTTTATATTTTTATGTTGAGAACACCCCCGAGATCTATGAATAAAGGATGGCATACAAATTTAATAGTTATAATTATAATAATGGATGCTGCTTCGGGCAGCAAGGCAACATATAAGCGAATAGAAAATCATACAGTACATACCCACCTTGATCTTAAAGAGTAAAAAAAATCCCTAACCACCCAAAAGTCTGAAGAATAGGCACAGCAATTTGCCACAAACTCACATTAAAAGTAGAGAGGAAAAGGGGAAGGTATCCCTAAGAGGAACCCAACTCAGGAATGAGAGATCTGTACCTTCTGCATGAGAGTTGAGCTCTCCCCATTGATTTACTGTACCAGCAAGGCTACAGCATCTCTCTCACTTGTTTCTTGGTCCATGTTCAGGTGATGCATGAAGCTGGTCCTTGAGAGTAGAGGGTCCCATTAGAGCCTGTGAGCTACCCATCAATTGCAAATCTGAATTTTAAGTACAATTTTCTATCAATGCACCCTTATGGAGAGGGGAGGGGTCTTTCTGGATGAGTATTCCTTTGTACCATTGTTTACTTACTACAAGTTCCTGTCTGTCTGTCATTTTGTTTACCTTACCCATTTTGAAATCTAAAGGTCATGATCCTCCTGCAAAACAACTAACTGGTTATCTTGCATGTTTCCTCAATCATTTTTTTCCTGTTTGCTTTTTATTAGTTTTCTTACTTGATGAACAAACACACACAGTAAAATAATAAAATGACAAAAACAACCAAAATGGAATATACACACACACGCATACATACAACCATAAATCCATAAGTTCTTACATACGGATTTATGTCACCATATTCTTTAATCCCAATTCCTTTTGTTCTCTAATAGACTTTCGTCTGCCTCAACCCTGGTCTATTTTGTCTATTTGTTAAACTGCTCCTTTTATCCTTTCTTCATTTCCACAGTTTTCCACGTACCATACTTGTAATCCATGTTGTGATTTGTGAAAATTAATCAAAGCAAATCCAGGTTTTGACTTGGGGACACTGGTTTTTTTTTAGATAATCTCTGTAAATTTCCCATTCCTTTTGGAATTTTTGATTAGGCTGTCTCCTAATCGCAACCGTCATTTTTGCCAGTTTGAGATAATCAAATAATTTATCCTTCCATTCCTTTTTGGTTGGTATGATTCCACTTTTCCAATTTCTAGCTATTAATATTCTTTCTGCCGTTGTTGCATTTAGGAATATTCTCTTTTTTCATTTGGGATATCTGAATCTAAAATGCCCCAAAGGAAAGCTTCTGATTTCTTTATAAAGGTTTGCCTAAACATTTTTTTTAGCTCCTCATGTATAATATCCCAGAAGTTCTTAATTTTTTTTGCAACCCCATCACATGTGAAACAGTGTCCCTTCTGCCTGTTTACACCTCCAGCAAGTATTAGATTTTGCGAGCATGCTCAAGCGGTGAAACCCGGAAGTAACCCTTTCCAGTACTTCCAGGTCGCTATGGAACATAACCTGAAAGAACGTAACATGAGGTATGACTGTACCTTATATAGCTTCCTTATACAGTGGTGCCTCGCAAGACGAAAAGAATCCGTTCCGCGATTCTCTTCGTCTAGCGGTTTTTTTGTCTTGCGAAGCAACCCCATTGACAGCTTAGCGGATTAGCGCTACAGCTGTCTAGCGGCTTTTCACGATCAGCTGTTAAGCGGGTTATCAGCGGAACAGCTGATAGGCGGCTTAGCAGCTTAGGAAAAGGGGGGGAAAGTAAAAAAAACCACGGGGACGCGCAAGATTTTTTCGTCTTGCGAAGCAACCCCATAGGGAAATTCGTTTTGCGAAGCGCCTCCGCGACGGAAAACCCTTTCGTCTAGCGGGTTTTCCGTCTTGCGAGGCGTTCGTCTTGCGAGGCGTTCGTCTTGCGGGGCACCACTGTAGCATGTTTCCTCAATCATGACCTTTTGGAGGAAGATGCAATTGTCCATGCAAAACCTGATAGTTCCTTACAGGGGGTGATCATTAAACTTTGGTGGTGAGATGGAATTAATGAACTGATTTTTACATTAAGAATTAGGAGATCAGGATATGTACTCATGCCTTCCAGGTCATGTTTAAGATAAAGGTAGCTCATAATGGGGCTCTCTCTTTATATCCACAGAAAAAGTTCAGATTCACACCCATTGTTACACTTGCTGCTCCCCTATGCTACAGGAAACACACACAAGTGCACTATTACATGCTGGCATGTATGCAGCAAACACTCCTCGTGTGTGTGTGTGCGCACACACACACACACACACACACTTAGTAGCAGTAACTATGCATGAATGCATGCAGCAGGAGCACATATGTTATCCTCTTGTACACATGGGATGTTGCTCCCATTTGGCCTAATTTCATACAGGTGGAGGAGCCTGGAAAGGGCAAGGGGGAAGCAAAAATGGAAGGAGGAGCAGGAAGCCCTCTGGCAAGAACAGTCAGTCACTTTCTCTAGCATATTGTTAGGCAGGTAGGAAGGAAGAATGTGGGGTAAGTGGGGAGAAAGTGAGCTAACCTTGCCCCAATGTTGGCTCTGGCTTCTCCCACCATCAGCATGCGGCCCTTGATAGAGCAGGAACAGGAAACTTTTTTTTCTAACTATTGACATTCAGTACTATAGTCTGCCCAAGTCATTGCTGGGTCATTTTCTCTTGGAGAAACAGGTTTCACTTGGTCTCGATCTGACATTCAGACATGTTGCATAATTTGCCCTTAGATCAGTTGACAGTGATTAAAATGAGCATCGAAACTTGTAACTTTAGGAATCCACAGTCGATTTGCAAACCAGTGAAAGTGACAGGCCTGCGATTTAAAAAACACAATACATAATTTAAACATTCCGAACGAGGAATTGGTTGGCAGGGAGAGGAAATGTATGATCCTTGGACCTCAGAGTAGAAACTCAGCCATTTTCTTTAGAACTTTCTTTGCCAAATTATACCTCTCATCAAGTTGAGTCTTTGTGTCAGATTTCATACCAATATGACAAACTATTTGATTTTTAAGATTTTTATTATAAAACCTAAGAGTGTTGAAAAGCCAAGAAATCTTAAACTATAGGGCAACTTCCGTAGTTCTGTAATAAAACCCACTTTCAGGTTTCTGACATTTGTCACACTCCAGCATGACCAAGAAAGGGTCCTGTGGTGGGGCTGTACAGATAGGGGCACAGCTCATTCTTGTTGCCCCACTTTCGGTGTTGAAATGAAAATGTCTGACTGCCAGTCAGGCGTCCTTTCATTATATGGGCCCTTTCACCATCCTACCTCAGTATTAAATCCTTGAGATATTTCATACTAGGTTTCGCATGTATGGTTTATGGAAATGATTAAATTCTCCTTAGGAACAGGGATCCTCCCTCCCCCTATGGTATTTGAGATTATCAGTGAAGGCATTTTTAGTAGTGTTACTAATCTTCCTGATGTTGCCATATTTTGCTGTAGAACTAAGTAAATATGTGTTGCTTGCCAATCTTAAAGCAAACAAACAGCCTAAGTAGGCCCTGGATCCTAAAAGGATACTGTCAAACATTATTTATATATGAAAAATAAATGATTGATTGAAACAGTTGTATCAAAGACAGTTTAGTTAAATGTTTCAGCTTTCATCTTCCTCAGTAACACAGTTGGGATTTCAAATGGATGCTGTAAGCCAAGGTGACAGTTTTAAGAACACTCAGGATGCAATCATTCTAAGGAGTGTGGCATGTGCACAATTGAAGTCTGGATTGAAATGGATTGAGATTAAATTGATCACATGCATTACTCATTTTATACAAATAAATAGTAGTAAATGAGAAAGATAGAAACCTTTCTGTGTGCTAAATTTCTTTCTTTATAATTTTCTAGACATTCCTTTCAAAGGAGACCTGACGTCTGTGGGACTAGTTCAAGATGTGTAGTTCGGTTGCTCCCAGGCTCTGGTTTTTAACGGATCGTCGAATTAGGGAAGACTACCCTCAACAACAAATCCTGAGAGCACTCAAGGCCAAATGTTGTGAAGAGGACCTGGACTTCCGAGCTTTGGTGATGGATGAAGTGGTCCTGACCATTGAGCAAGGAAACCTTGGTAAGAATAAAGGTTGTATGGAAAGGTGACAGTTGGGAGGACATGGTGTATCATGCAGCTATGCCTCTGAATGCCACCTGCTGATAATTACAATTGTGAAGAGTGTGATGGCACTCGGGTCCTGTTTTCTGACTTCTCGTGGGAATCTGGTTGGCCACTGTGAGAACAAGATACTATACTAGATGGGCCATTGGCCTAATCTTGCAGGCACTAATGCCTTTGCCTGTGAGCTGTTAAATTATAAATGCCAAAAAGCAAAACTAAGAAAAGTTTGTGTTTCATTTCAAATAGCATTGTCATATTTTTCTGCCTGAGTATTGTTTCAAGGCTGAGCGTCAACTCTTTAAAAATCAGTGGCTTAAGCACAGCCTCCTTTGCCAATGCTTTGGTTTAAGAGAGATTATTTGCCCCAATTTGCCATGTGTACAGTCAGGTTGTCAAGTGCTCGAGAGGCCCTCTGAGTACCAAGTGCTGGGTAGAAGCAGTCGCAAAGATTAAAGCTTCACTCACCACAAAGGCTCTGCATGTATTCCCTGATATTGCTACACCTTAATTTTAAAATTGTGGCTGTCTCCTAATCTCAACCGTCATTTTTGCCAGTTCGAGATATTCAAATAATTTATCCTTCCATTCCTCTTTTATTGGTATGATTTCACTTTTCCGATTTCTAGCTATTAATATTCTTGCTACACCTTAATTTTAAAATAGTGGCTGAGACATAGACTTCCATGCGACTCTACACCAGGGTAGACTGTGTCCCTTTTTCTACTGCTGCTCCTGCAGAATTCTTGGGAGCAGATAAAAATTTGCTGGAACTAGATCACGCCACCATTGTCTGCAGAGACTTTCACAGTACAAATAACTTAGGTTTCCAATTCTGTTCTGACTCCTGTGATTCTTATGGCAACATTTCCAAAGTCAATAGGCATGGCTCTACTCCAGCCCAATTGTTTTATGAGAAAGGATATGAACTTCAGCTTGGATATGAACTTCAACTCTGACTTCTTTATACATAGCACAGCAGGGTTGGGCAGCCACAGGGGCCTCCCTGTCAGCCCCACAGCATCATTACTTGTCTCACCTCTCCTCTACTACAATTAGGCTTGCAAAAACCCTTCTGTTGGAAACAATATGAGCTTTGGGGTTGTTGTTTTTTTTTTGCAAGCCTAATTGCCATGGGGGCTAATCAGGAAGAGGGATTGCAGTTGATGAGGGAAGTGTTAAACTTTCCTTGCAAACCCCCTCCTCACTGAAAATGCCTTCCTTGCTGCAATTTGGGTTGGAAGAAGCAAGCTTAGTTGTTTGTGGGTAGGTAGGTAGGTTTGTAATTCAAACACAGTTTGTGGTTCACATGGTGATGTCCTCCTTGCTGCACTTTGGAGATGTGGTGTCTTGTTTCTGTTACCTTGGAAGGGACATCAGCTCTTGGAAGGGACTGTACCCCTTTCCCTTCACCATGTTCCTGAAGAAATCAGGAAGATCATGCTCCCCAGAGGTGCCTAGGCCACCAACTGCTGTGAGCAACTTTGTGATCCACTGTTCCACACAGCTTTAAAATGGGAGTATGCACCTACAAAATATAGTGGTACCTCAGGTAACATACGCTTCAGGTTACAGACTCCACTAACCCAGAAATATTACCTCGGGTTAAGAACTTTGCTTCAGGATAACAACAGAAATCATGCAGCAGCAGGAGGCCCCATTAGCTAAAGTGGTGCTTCAGGTTAAGAACAGTTTCAGGTTAAGAATGGACCTCTGGAATGAATTAAGTTCTTAACCCGAGATACTGCTGTAATAAAATAGTAATATTGGAAAGAAGCTTTTATTACAGGACCACTTGGATACATGCAGAGCTTATTTGCTAAAAATGATTTTGTGGATGAAATGACATAATTGGGGAGTGGCTTTGTAAAGATGGTGCCATTGTAGGACAATTGTAAATAAGAGGCTTGCATTTGATTCCTGCATTACGGGGGTTGGACTAGTTGACCCTTGGGTCCCTTCCAACGCTACGATTCTTTGTACAAAGTAAATAGGCCTTTGCTATGTGAACCTGGAGCTGAGCAGCTGGCCCTTTACAGCCGTTGCATGGCAAATTGTCACCACCTGAGGATATGTCAAGTCAGTCACTGCAATGAAGAATGTGCTTGTGGCAAGGTTGCTTAGACAGGGGAGGATAAAGGACAGCTGAAGAGGAAGAAGAATCTTGTGTGACAGGCTTGCCAGATTACAAAATGGATGCATGGCTAATGAATTGAACCTGGAGCTCTGGAATGAAGTGGAGAAGACAGTTGGGAGATGGTCTTACATAATTGTATTCTCCATGTAATCTCTACTGCCTAATCAGTTTTACTATCTTTTAAATGTGTGTTGAATTTTAGAAAATATTAAGTAAACATGTATTTGTGGCTGTAGTGGCCAGGGATTGTTCCTGTGCTTGTCTCTCCTACAGGGAGATTTGATGTTTGTGCATGGAACTGCGTTCAAAACTCCCATTGTTCTAGGCACATTTTGCAACAGGGAATTTGATTAGCAAGAGCAGTTTCTGAGCTTTGGGCACAGTGCTGCACCTAAGATTTCAGATTAAAACTGCAGAGTGGAAGGAAAGGAGGACCCTTTTCTGCCTCCCCACTTCCAGCTACTCTCTGAAGATAGGAGAAGAGACCCTCTTAAGAATATTAGTAGGGTGGGCAAGAAAAGGACTAGACCATATGAAAAGTGAACATAATATTTTAGCTGCAGTTCATTCATTTTCAGCTTTGTATTCTTATTATTAAAAAGTGCGCCTAGACATTTTGTCGTTGCACCCATAACCTAGGTTTAAAGTGCCATTTAACTCCTAGCTTTCATATCTCTGTTTCTAACACTGGCATGGAATGATCACAGTTGTAGTGTGGCTGGAGGGCAGGCATTACATTGATGCACTTGGAGTAATTCTAGTCTGCTATGCAAGCAAAACAGGGCAATTTCAGTTTTACTGTTAATATACTGTTAATATAGCAAAGAGTTCACAACCTCAAATCTATAGTATAGATGGTCCTGCATGTTGTTATCTGGCCATCTTGTACTATCTTATCCTAATTTTTTTTCCAGTGAAATAAAAGTAATGCATTAATCTGCCAAAGGTTTGTTTGAGAGAATAAGTTTGTATGTCTGGCTCAAGTGAGTTTTATGAATGAGTAGATGTGAATTTACGTTTCCCTGGTCTAAGTCAAAACAGTCTATCTGTCAAACCAAACGTGACACTCTCAAGGTGTCTAGAGGCTAGAGCTTAGTGATTGAGATTGGCAGGGGGTTGGACTCGATGGCCCTTGTGGTCTCTTCCAACTCTATGATTCTATGAGTTTCCTGGTTCAGTCCCTGGCATCTTGCATTAAATTATTTCAGGAAGCAGAGCTATATGTTCAAATTTCTAGAGGTACTATTTGCATGTGAAAGCACTAAATTACAACAATGGAAACAGGTTTCCTACTCTAGTAACTCTGTGTTCCTGCACCATGCAGAAAACTCATTTTCAAAAATATCTTGATTTCACACCCACCCATAAAGTCTTAAGTTATTTTTATGCAAGACAGCTGAATTCTATAATTTGCCAACTACTTTTGCTCTCAACCCTTGCTTTTATATGCTTATATGAACTAACTGAAGTGTGTTGATTGGGCGGGTCTATGGGGTGATAAATAATCTATATTTCATCAAGCTTGTCTGTAGCGCCATAACCCTCTTGAACACCTTGCTCAAGAAGTGGGTATTTTGCAGCTGTGCAATACCTTCTGGATCCAGGGCCTCTTAAGGTGGGGACACACACCACAATCTCTTTCATGGTGACAGGCACAATTATCAGACCCCCTCCCTCAAAGATGCATTTTGATCTATTTCGATCCAGCTTTATTCCCGCTTTTGGCACCACTATAGCTTTGGTTACTCCAATTGATAACTTGTATCAAGGGAGAGATGAGGAAGGTGCAACCCTATTAAACCTACTCTTTCTCTCAGCAGCTTTTGACAACATTGACTATGGTCTTTTTCTGGAGTGACTCTGCAGGTTGTGGGTTGGGGCCTTGATAACACAGTGGTTTTGCTTTTGCCTTCTTGGTCATTTTCATAGAATAAAGGTAAAGGTACCCCTGCCCGTACGGGCCAGTCTTGACAGATTCTAGGGTTGTGCGCCCATCTCACTTAAGAGGCCAGGGGCCAGCGCTGTCCGGAGACACTTCCGGGTCACGTGGCCAGCGTGACAAAGCTGCATCTGGCAAGCCAGCGCAGCACACGGAAACGCTGTTTACCTTCCCGCCAGTAAGCAGTCCCTATTTATCTACTTGCACCCGGGGGTGCTTTCGAACTGCTAGGTTGGCAGGCGCTGGGACCGAGCAACGGGAGCGCACCCCGCCGCAGGGATTCGAACCACCGACCTTTCGATTGGCAAGCCCTAGGCGCTGAGGCTTTTACCCACAGCGCCACCTGCGTCCCTTTTCATAGAGTAGCAGTGGGTAATATTTGATTGACCCCATTGCTGGGTCCCGTGAAACATTGTCAGGCTCTATCCTGCCCCCATGCTGTTTAACAACTATTTGAAGTTGTTGGGGGCAGCTATTGGGGTTTTACAGGCCAGTGCAATCAGCATTCTGATGACACTAAGTTCTACATATCTATACCATCCAATCCAAATGAAATTTGGTATTGGTGTTGAACCACTGCCTGGAGGCAATAATTTAATTTAATTTAACTTATTTTTAAAAGCCTGTAGTGGTGTTACTATTATTTACCATCTTGATTGTTTTTGTGATTCTTTGATATGTTTTGTTTTGATATAAATCACTTTGAGGTTAAAAAAAAAAAAGCTGTATGTAAGAATGCTAAATATTTATTTAGCAGCTAGCTAGCTACCTAAGAGCACATTGCCTCCAGTATTTAGCATATGGTATTCTGACTGCACCTGTAATAAAATAATATTTCTTATTTATCTTTGGGTGCAGTTCCTTTTAAATATTGCTAATGGG